TCTATTTTGTGTCTAATGTTACTATGTTTTCGTCGACAGCAGAGTCAAAACTCCATGAGGGAGGCATTAGGGATCGTTCATCCTAGCGGATGAAATGTTCACCACTGAGCGGCAAATTTCTTTTGTTCCCAACACTTGTTGAAAAAATGCAAAGAAAAAAAGTTAGTTTTGAAATATGACGATTTTTCAAATGTTCAAGATCCTGGGTACAAGATATCAAGAAATATCCGTACCCAAGGTCTTGCGTAAGATCTTGAGTGCAAAAATGTCCTGAGATCTTGTACCCATGTTTTCAAGATCTAGTGCCAGATCTTAACGTAAGATCTTGGGCAAGATCTTGGTTTCAAGATGTTGGACTAGGGATAGTTTATAAGAAGCGAAGCGACGTGTGCTTGAAACAGAGACCGTCGCAGGGCAATTTTTTTGGCCCTGTCCTACCTTGTCTGGCTGGGCAGGACGCCGTGCAATGCAAAAAAAAGTTTTTCTTTTTAACCTAGAAGGCTTTATCTTTAAGAAACTTATCACAAATACTGAATGTGTTTCTCGTGCGTAACAGAATCTTTTTTTTATTAATTAAGTTGAAGAAAAGAAGTTGAAGAAAAGTTGACTTTCATTTTTATTTCACATAAGAGAGATCGCAAAATTTTACTTAAAAAGAAGCTTGAAAATCTCAAAAATCAATCTCTCACAGGACGAATCAAGGAATTTTTTGTTGCTCTGCTCTGCAACAGGGCAGAGCAACAAAAATATATCGCCCTGCCCTACGACGGTCTCTGGTTTGAAATATCATAAGTTTTTGACCTTTTTTATGCCTTTGAACTGGGAACGTTTTAGTGTTTAAAAGTGGCCGTTTTATTAGGATAAAAAAAGTACATTTTTTAAGGTCACTATTGTACCATCATGAGTCGTTAATAGTCTCTTATTCGAACATTTTCCGCAGTCAGTTTTTTTCTGGCTAGTAACCTCACAAAGGCTGAATTCACAAATTTCAATATTTTAGGCTCCTTAGGATCATGGTACTATCACTGGTAGTCCTAGAACTAAAGGTTAAAAACTGACTGTTGAACGGTTAACATTAAATGCTAGGTTTTCCTCATATTTTACCTGTTTCCAAATGGTACGGTGATAGACAGTTAACGGTCGATGTGAAGTTTAGTTTATCAGATATACGAGATCAGCGTCAAAAACTGACTCGAATGGTATATGTTTATCCAAAAATATCTTTCATCAAGATTAGATTTTTGGAGGACTGCAGGCGAAATTTACCGAAAAAAAGACCTGAGGGCAACTAAAGGCTTAATTTTGATGAAAGATATTGAATGCGGTGTGAAGCAGAATAGCATGCTAGTAATCAACGTCATCTTTTTTCTCTAGATTGAAAAATGTATCATTTTCTGTAAATGTTTTCTCAAGAACTGTATGTGATGTTAAAAAAGTTGAAAAACGGGAAGTTTGTATTGTGGTTGAACTGATGCTTCTCCATTTTGGAGACTTTTTTGATATTTAGTGTCTTTCCTAGAGTGTTTGGAAGTAGGCAGCGTGACTGTTTTGGATTTGAAAATTTTCAAGAAAAACCGATAATTGTTCCAACAGTGTACAGGCGCCTTTACAACAGAATTCGTGTACCATGTGATTCACTTTCATAGCTATGGCATCTGTATAGCGAATGAGCCATTATTATCGCCACTACATGCGCTATCGTGTTATAGATAATTAAGTCAATGATGTACGATAGTAATTGCTATGCAGTTTTAGGCGTTAAAACGGAGCTGCACCTGAGAACATCGTCAATGATAGGGATTTCTATATGCTCGGACCATTGATTAGTTTTGTCTTTTTACTCTCATTTCCTAACCAGGTTCTGACAAAATTCCCGACAGGAACTGCTTCTCTCAAAAAAAACAAGTATTGTTTTGTGATAATACTAGTCATCGGTTTCATAACCAGGATCCTGATTTATCTGACTAGATCATCAGGTCGTTCCCTAGGATAGTTGTAAGACAGCTTTATTCGCATGTTTCAAAAGACAAAGAAGAAAACACACATTTACTTTCGTCACATTTTCAATCGTGTGATTTGCCATCTAGTTTTTGATAAAACCTATGTCATTTGACTCAGTTTTTGGTGCTAAGTCCGAATATCTGATTAATTCTGCATGGAAATTGACTTTTGATGGTTTAAATAGTCGACTACAAGGACATTTTCTTGTTTTTTCACATTGATTTCAGGAAAAATCGTTTCTCGCAATAGTAAAGCAATATTAAAACAAAATCTCAAAGTACGCTTTTTCCCCATAGTATAATGGGTGAATTTTATATATAATATATAATGAAAATTTTACTGACCTATACTTTCATGAGCTATACTACTGAGCTATACTATCATGCTTTTCTAAAGGGAGAGGACTTGGGATATAGATTTGCGGGGGTAGGGGGTTTATGATCTTAACCGGCGTGGTCTTTTATGTTTTTCTAAATAAAACTCTGTTTTTTTGGAAGGACGTGCAGTTGCAAAACAAACAGATAAGTAAGTAGGCAAGACATCACAGTGTATCCGTATTTCATATATTGTGAAGCTGTGCTGTCAGGTGGCATGATATCTGATGCATATTCATGCAAGGTCATTATTTTTAAAATATTGTTTTACACTGTGGTGGTAAGATAGAGATGAGTGAAAGTTTTGTATTTTTGATTGAAATTTTCAAATGTTTTTGTCATTGTCTTTATCGCTTTAACCGATGCAAAAAAGAAAATAGATTGGATGAAATGATTACTATAGCATAGTTGTGTTAAAAATTCAACAATTTTTGGATTATTTAAAACGCAGATTATATAGACATTTATCAGTTCTCTCGGAAAGAGTTTAAATATGTTACATAGTTTGTGAGAAGATTTCTAATCGGCGCGAAATCAATTGATGAATTATAGTTTTTTCAAAACTTGCAAGTAAAAATTTGTCGATTCTCTGCTTATTTGATCCATCTGAAGACAAGAAGAAGCAAAATGGTCAATTTTGACTCGCACTATTCGGTTATACATTTTTATGACATGTTCACGCAAGTAAGTCAATTTGATTAAAGGAGAAGAAAATGATTTTAAACTTTAAAATCATTTGAATCAGATACTACTGCTTGCTTTGCGTGCATGGACATCATATTTCATGTATCCTGTAATATGTCAGAGTATTGTGATCAACCCATTACATAAAGATACGTCTCAACATTAGAATAGATTGATATAGTAATTTTATTTATTTTTCTCATTGTTCGTTCTTAAGAAAAGAGAGCGCTATTCCAATCTACTTTATTACCTACTTTTTTCACGAATTAACTCTGAGACAGCTTGTAGAGCGACAGATGCTTCAAGTACTTTATACAGATCCTAAGATCCTATCAAGAATCCGTGTAAGCTGCCCAATGATTTATCAAGCATTTTTCTCTTTTTTCAATGATTCTCGCTTCAGCCCATCCCTGCACTAGATACCCAGAGTCACAGATATCCCATCTGCCACAACCAGACGTGCTGTATTAGATGTCGTGATTTGCCATGCTCTATGTGTTATCAGAAGTTTCCTATTACCTACTGTTACCTACTTTGTCTTAAGAAAGACTGGAGGGTGGTGGTGGCCAGGTCAGTGACTGGGTTCTAACGAATACGAGCCTACAGTGAACTCGATGAGCGTCTGTGTTCATCAAAAACATAAAGGAAGAAAAATGTGTTCAGAAATAAAGTATATTGGAAAGCGTTCAGTTTTCTCTGCAAGGGGAACCGCGTTTACAGGGTAGGGTGTTCCAAAAGTCAGTACCCAATAAAACTTTTTAATAACTCCATCATTTCTTAACCAAACTTCAATGTTGTTTTATTGTTTGACAGAGAAATGTTCCAAGTTTTATTTCATACGATTGGAAACTCTTTTTAATATTTGAAAAAATGTTTGGGTTTATTATAGTGAAATTCAGATATCCTGGAACTCTTTCTTAATAAATTATGTACTGCAAAACTTTCTAGAAAGAACATAAATAATTTTTAATGTTAAAGTAAAGTAGATAATGTCCGCTTTCACATAACGAAATGATTATTTGCTTTTGTTTAAAAATGACTGAATGTTGTGAATTTCTGGTTCCATACCAGCATCGGGACAAGTGCAAAAAGGTAATCAAATTTTTTTCAGATAAAATAAACTAATAAAAAGAAAAACTAAAAGTGGAATTTCATACAAAGAGGGTAGCCCTATAAACTGGAATAGTTTGAAAGCCTGTAAAAAGTTGTATGATGCTATTGCAGAAGCCACAATCCGTAGATCATGCTGATATGGAAAAATTAACTTCTTGTGACAAAACTTTAAGTTGAACAAAACATTTGAATATGTGGGATTGTAGGGCAATTCGAGTTCTACAAAATGAGACGTAGTGTGGCTCTGACAAAGAGTCCATTCAATTACGAAAGCTCCACAATCTTTATGCACTATTATAGATATTTGCACAGAAAGCATATGTTGTAAGTTTTATTATTTTTCCGCACTGATCTTCTTCTACACAAAAATTTCTGATCGTATGAAATGAAACTTGGAACGTTTCTCTATCAAATAAAAAAACCCTTGAACTTTGGTTAAGAAATGACGGACTTATTAAAATTTTTTATTGGGTACTGACCTTTGGAACACCCTGTATATTCTTAAAAGTGATAAAACGCGTTTCTCTATTGTAAACGTGTTCAAAAAGCAGCTAAAAGGCCATGCCACAATGCTGAAAAAATATCTTTTTTTGATATAGTAGAAAATACAATACAAAAATAAAAAAACAAAGTTCCCTACAAAATTAATTCATGGAAGCTTTTCCCTTTTTGTTGTATTAAATGTGCAGTATTTTACGTAAAAAAAAAACCTTTTCTGTTTTTGAAGATGATGCTAGTTGCTTTTTCCTTGCAGTTGTTATCTTACTTTTCACAAATATAAAGAAAATGATGATAAGTTTTGAAGGAAAAAACCAAATGTTTAATCATTACGATGACAGTACTTGTTCAACAATTGTGACGTTATTTGCTGCTATTGAGAAAAACACGTTTTATTTATTTACGTAAAATTAATATCCTGATTTAGAATCAGTTTGAATGACAGAAAGAATAATGTATAAACACAAGCAAACAGAAGAAACAAAACGAAAATTTTTATGTTACATTCTTTTTTTTTTCACGGTTATTAATGTTTATATTTATAGTTAAACGAACACCTGCAAAGAATTTTATATCTATGTGTTTCTACTGAAAAATATAATATATAAATGAATCATCTTGTGTGTCTGATGTTGTACACTTACAATTTTGCTGGTGTTGGTGCAAGAAAAGTCTTAATGCCACTGTACCGGCAGAAAATAAATTTTATGTTATAGCAATGTATCCGGCGGGGTAATTATAGGCTTGAGAAAATAACAAGATCTTCGTCTTTGTAAAGCCCTAGGTTTTTGTTTTTTTACTAAAAGAGAAGTTTAAAATTTAAGTAACACTGAAGTATCTAAAATCATGAATTAAACAGCTAGTGTTATAGTTTAACGAGGTTTCTATTAATTGAGGAACAAAGTTTTTGACTATAATAAGCAACATGAAGCAGAACACGTTGCTTTATTTTCTTTCCTTCCAGTTTTTTCTCTATACCCACAATAATAATCACCTTTGCGTCAACATGTTGCAAAACATATTGAAATCAGAAAAAAAGTAGTCTATAGAATCGTACATAAATACAAGTGATTTAAAAGAAATCATCAAACAGTTTAATGGCTTTCTCACAACTTAGCTGCTTTTGATTATTTTTGCTGAAATCGGATTTTGTGCGAAGGTTAATATTCAAGAATTCAGACGTTTTCAAATGATGGAAAGAGGCTCTATCTAATACAAAATATTTATTGAATCGCTTCATTAACGTCTGATTTTATATAGATATGGTCTGTTTTCTTACTGCGTTTGTTCATTTTTTCCTGTAAGACGTTCAGCATCTTTTTCTTCTTTGTGATGATGGTGAATGGGACAAAGAAGACGATTTAACATTCAGAAACCGATATTGTTTTGGACTTGGATATTAGTTTAATAGGACTTACCTCAATATCTAACACATACCTAAACATAGTTTTTCTCTTTTTCCACTGTAGCGAGATTATTGATCTTCATTTTCTCTCCCATTTGTAGAATATTAACAATATGACTGATTATGCTATAACAACAGACCAAGTGGCATTTATAGAACAGCCAACAACGCCGCAAGACATCGATGAAGGTCTCTATAGTCGAATGTTATATGTTATGGGAAAAGAGGCCATGCACGCTTTGTCGGGTTCTCATGTCCTCATATCCGGTATGCGAGGTCTTGGTGTTGAAATAGCAAAAAATATTGTATTAGGCGGTGTTAAATCGGTTACTATCCAAGACTGCAATAAAGTTACACATGCCGATTTATCATCTCAAGTATTTATTTCTCACAACAATCATCTAACAAATGAAATCGACCTGGATTTTACTTACTTTTTTTTATAGTATTTTTTCACCGAAGAAGATATTGGAAAAAATCGTGCTGAGATTTCACAGAAGAAATTGGCTGAACTAAACAGTTACGTTGAAGTTACTCATTCATCAGAAAAACTAAATCCGCAATATTTGGAATCGAGAAAGATTAATGTAAGTTGTAACGGGTTGAGCAAGAAGAAAATGACACCACTTCATAAAATGGATTTTTTGTTTAGCAGGACGACATAATTTTATCTGTTTTTAATAATTTATTCATTTGCTAGCTTATCCATGTTACATGTGTGACACGGACTCGGTCTAAGTCGACCCTACAATTGACACACTTTCATTTGATGTACAACAAGTCTGTACAAAATGATATTAAATGCAATCAGAGATGGGCGAGTCAAGCTACTTTCCGAGTCCGAGTCCGAGTCATTTCGTAGCGGCGTCGAGTCGAGTCACCAGTGTTTCTGACATATCACCGATTAAAAAAAATTAAAGTTTGTTTAGAGTTAAAGAAAACTGTATTCAGCATACCTGATATAATATTGAAAATTTTTCTTAACTTTTTGGTGGTAGCCCTCGCTAAAAATAGAAAATTTTCCAGGTTATCAAGTGTGCTGAATACGAAAAAGCACTTTTCTTTAACTCTAAATGAACTTTAATTTTCTGTCGGTGATATGATATCAAGTCGAGTCGAGTCAAGATATTTTTGCCATTTTTCCTATATATATGTAATAGCGCTGACGAAGAACAAGACAGCAATAATCAGTCGTTGTCTCTTTAGCACTTTGTCTCCGTCTTGCTCTTCGTCAGCACTATTACATATACTCTAACTGATGATGATTTATTGCGAAAGACATGACCAAGTCTATTGCCCGCTTTCATGACACAGTAGAGAGATAAAGTTTAAACATATTATAAACAAACAAACACACATCTTTAAAAGAAACAATAAGATATAAAACAGTAACAAAAAGAGACAAACACGTTTAAAAGAACCAAATAAAACAGATTAACAAATAAAAAAAAAGAAAGAGACATCACAAATCATAAATTCAGCAGTTTATTTAAAATAGTTTTGATTGGGTTTAAGCGCAAACGTAATATGTTTGTTTCATACTTTTCTTGGTAAAACAGATAGTTAAAACTAAGATTTAGAGAGATATCATTTGTAAGAAAATCGTACATAGTAAAAGAGCGAGACAGCTGGAAAACAAGGTCTTTTAATAAAACACAAGAAGCACGCTTATGAAGTTTATGAGTGGGAAAACATGGTGGAAGACGTAATGCGATTTTTAAACTAACGTTTTGTATGCGTTGAAGTTTAGTCCAACTAGAAGTAGAAATACATAAGAGACACGGAGAAGCGTAGGTTAACATAGGACAAAGATACGTTTTTGTAAATAAACACAGCTGTATGAAGAAGAAGTCCCCAACGTCTGCCACGCACGGATTTTAAGGCACCCATACGTTTCCTCGTACGAATACAAATATCATTAATGTGAGCGCAAAAAGACAGCGACTAATCCAGTATAAAACCTAGGTATTTAAGAGTTTTTACTTGTTTCAGTCCATTTCCGTTTAGAAATAGGAAAATAGATGAGTTTTTATCACGTGGACATTTGGTGAAAAATAAAGACACTGTTTTTGAGTAGCTGATTTTTAAACGCCACCGCTTACAATAGGTGGAAAGACGATTACAGAATACTTCAATACTAACAATTGTTCGTCTTGCTTAGCATGGAAACATTCGCACAGGGCCGCTAAATCATCGGCATACATAGGGACGTTTACTTTCGTTTACTGTACTCTAACTAATTATATGTTCTTCACATTTAGTCTACTTTTGTCTGAGGAAGGCGTCTTTGACTTTGCAAAGCATTTAGTGAATAGAATTTTTTTCGAATGAATGACTCGAGTCAAACAGTCGAGTCAATGTCTTCCAATTTTCGAGTCCAAGTCAAGTCAGAGTCATTAAAAAATGCGACTCAAGTCCGAGTCTCGTCCATCACTGAATGCAATAACATATTATTCAGGTAAAAAGAACTTACGAGAAAGTCTTGTTGTAGAAAAATTCCGTCATGCTGTACGCACGTATGTTTCATTTATTTTGCACATGCTCTTGACCGTAGATAGTAATCAACCTAGACTACTTATGCAATGAATATGAGCTCATAATCGGCTTTCTAGACTGAGACATAAACTCTACAATCTTGACTTTTACACAGTTATCGGTTTAGACTGTTTTCGGGGCTTTTACGAAAATTTCCATAATTTCTGAAGTAAGATCCGCTCAAAAAGTTTTGAGAATCTTCCTAAATATGTTCCGCTATCAGGTTTGAACGAACAGCTCGGACATCGATTGAGCAACTCAGGCCGCCTCTTTCGTGCGATGGCTCTTAGTTTGACTATTGGTTTTTGTATAATTTTCAATAGTGCTTCAATCTTCTAAGGACAAAACCATGGTTCCAGACACCGGTTTTACGGATGAAAAGTATTGAAAAAAAGGCTCTTTCTCGTTTACTCTGAACACAGCATTTGAAACTTGAGAGAATTCTATCTTTTAAGCTTAGGACGAAGTGGAAGTTAATGTGACTACCCTAGACAAAAATTCTACGCACACTTCCTGTCTAATTCCCACTAGGATCTTACAGAATTCTAACATGAAGGATCCACCTAATAACTTCCTAGCGGGATCCTAAAATGCTAGGACCCTACTAAGATTTCGCTTAAGTTTGTTTAGGATCCTAACAGAATCTTAGAAAATCCTATGACTTTCAGGTATACCTAATTTCATTAGGATTTTGTTAAGATCCTAAATAAACTTAAGTGGAATCCTAGTGGGAAATTGTTAGGATATGTCTCGGATCCCGTCAGGAAATTCATAAAGATTTTACTAGGGTAAGATCAAAAATAAGCTTGCAAATGAATAAATTGTTGAAAACAGATAAAATTACGTCTCCTTGCTAACCAAAAAATCTACGAAAATTGTACGTCTGCAACCAGGCGGAAACTGATGTAACTAGACCAAAATGGTGCCATTTTCTTTACCCAATCTGTTACAGTAGGATAATTGAAACAAAATTTTCGTTTTTTCTATATAATTAGTAGTTGAAGGACAAATATTCTTCTTCAGGTATTTGTATTAACCGAAGCATTACTTGATGAACAAAAGGATGTTGGTGAATATTGTCATAAACATAATATTAAATTAGTGATATGTAATACAAAAGGATTGTTCGGGTAAGATACAAAAGTGCCCACAATCTGATGATACATATTTCTAATTATTTTATATCTCTTTATAGTCAAATATTTTGCGATTTTGGTGAAAATTTTCTAGTATTGGATACAAATGGTGAAAATCCACTTATGCAAATTGTAACCGAAATTAGTAATGTACATATATATCAAACGTTGACTATTTTGACCAAGTGAAGCTTGCATAAGTTTAATAGAATTTTATTTAGGATAATCCGGGTGTTGTTTTTCTGTCTTTTGATAAACGCCATGGTTTTGAAGATGGATCATATGTCACATTTTCTGGTGTCAAAGGGATGACCGAAGTTAATGGAAAAGAATTTAAAATAGGTGTTCCAAGTAAGTTGTTTGTTTTTCTTCGTTGCAACATCATGATGTCTACATATACAGTACAGATTTCGAGTTACTACATACGCTTCGCTCCTATCCGAAGATAACAATTTAGAATGAGCAAGAGATAGATAACTTGATGATTTATTTTATTTTTCAAAAGGCCCGTACACGCTCACAATTGATGATACATCTAGTTTTGGAGCATATGCTGGTGGTGGAACAGTCACAGAAGTGAAGAAACCAGAAATATTACAATTTGTATGCTTAAGTCAAAGTTTGAACTTTTATTCTCAAAGTAACAAATAGTAATTTTACTGCACTCGCTTATTACGTTTAGAAATCATTTTCTCAATCATTAACTGAACCGGATATGTTAATCTGTGATTTTGCTAAAATGTATATGCCTGGAAATTTACACGTTGCATTTCAAGCATTATGTGCATATAAAATAAAATATGGTGAACCACCTAAACCATGGGATGATGTAATTACGGCAAGGAATAATTTAGACATGAAGTAAAAACTTGAATCTTTTTCTTTAGAACGATGCCGAAAAATTTTATGAATTAGCAAAAGAAATCAATTGTAAAACACCTGATAAACCAATTACTGATGAATTAAATAAACATGTAATGCATTTATTTTCAAAAACATGTACGGGTGATTTATGTCCAATGCAAGCTGTCATTGGCGGAATAGCTGCGCAAGAAGTGATGAAAGTATGTAAATAGAGGTAACGTTCTATTTGTGATTTGTCATGTCTTAACTTTTTCAGGCAGTTACAGGCAAATTTAAACCGATCAAACAATTTTTCTATTTTGATGCAATCGAATGTTTACCAGAAAATATTTTTAATCCACCATCAACTGATTCCACAATAACGATATCACCAATAGAAGCACCCTCCATAAAATTAGCAAATAAAAACTCACGATATTATTCGCAAGCCATTGTATTTGGTGATGAGTTTCAACAGAGACTAGGAGAATCCAAATATTTTGTTGTAAGTAACTGTACTACTTATAAATTGCTGGAGTTTTCCGCATCTTTCTGTAGGAAATATGCGTGATTTGTCTTATTGATGTTGCTATAACAGTTCACATTTTTAAGTTTGATATCTTTCTCTAAAACAAAGCGTATTTTGTTAATATCTTGTTTCAGTTTTGATATTAATGGTTAGTTCATAGATTTTGAATTTGTTTACAGGTTGGTTCAGGAGCTATTGGATGTGAAATGTTGAAAAATTTTGCTATGATGGGTATTGGATGTCAAAAAAATGGTGCTATTTATGTAACAGATATGGATAGTATTGAAAAATCAAATTTAAATCGACAGTTTTTGTTTCGACAATGGAATATTGGGGTGTGTACGACACATTTAGCATTTTATTTGATAACTTTTTATTTTCAATTTTTTCTTACTAGCAAATGAAATCGAAAGTTGCTGCTGAAGCTGTTAAACAAATGAACAGTGATGTTAATATTCATGCATTTATTGAACGCGTTGCTTCGGAAACAGAACATATGTATGATTCTAACTTTTTTAATCAATTAGATGGTGTTGTTAATGCATTAGATAACGTTGCTGCACGTAAGTCTGATATGAAAGATAAAAATCATCATATCAATTTCTATTCTAATTTTTATTTCAGGACAATATATCGATCAGCGTTGTGTTTATTATCGTAAGACATTGGTTGATAGTGGTACACTAGGAACAAAAGCCAGTGTTCAAGTTGTTATTCCTCATATAACAGAATCTTATTCATCCACAACCGATCCACCTGACCCATCTATTGCAATGTGTACATTAAAACATTTTCCCTTTTTAATTGAACATTCAATTGAATGGGCAAGAGATTATTTTGAAGGCGCATTTACAAATCCAATCAAATTGGCTAAAGAATATCAAAAAAATCCGAAGGAATTTTTAGATCGTGTACAAAAATTGACAGCTTATCAAAAACAAGATGAAATCAATACTGTACAGCGTATACTGGGTCCAGATCGTCCGAAATCATTCCCAGATTGTATCAAATGGGCAAAAGAAGTATTTCAAGTACAATTTTATAATACAATTGTACAACTACTATTCAATTTTCCGCATGATCAAGTAACATCAACCGGTGATCGTTTTTGGAGTGGTAATAAACGTTGTCCACATGAGATTCAATTTGATGTCGAAAATAAATTACATATGGATTTTATTTATACTGCATCAAATTTGTGTGCTGCAATGTATTCTATTCCACAAAATAGAGATCGTACACAAATAAAAAATCATGTAGCAACAATTCAATTGCCTACTTTTACACCAAAACATGGTGTTACAATACTTGACGATGATGAACAAATGAAAGCAGCAAACGAAAATCGTGATCACGGTGATGACGAAAATGGAACGATCGAATTACCAGAGTTATTACAAAAATTACCAAAATTAGAAGATATCTTAGATGTTAAATTAAACCCAGTAGAATTTGAAAAAGATGATGATACAAATTTTCATATTGATTTTATTACAGCCGCATCGAATTTAAGAGCTGAAAATTATGAAATTACTCCAGCTGAACGTAGTAAAACAAAACAAATTTCTGGTAGAATTATTCCAGCGATAGCAACAACAACAGCTATGGTCACTGGTCTTGTGTGTTTGGAAGTCTACAAATTTTTTCAAAAACATAAAAACATTGAATCATATCGAAATGCTTTTGTCAATTTATCATTACCATTTTTTGGACTCTCTGAACCAGTGCCACCAAAAAAAAGTAAAGTAAGTAAAACATCGTATGTAGTTTGGCGAAGATTTCATCTTATATTACGATAGCAGCTATATATATGTTGCAGGAGAAATTAAAATCCAGTAGAATTTAAAATTGTCCTAGTAAAAATTAAGATTTTAATTTTTCCTAGTGTAAATTAAAATCAACATATTCACAAACACGAAAACTCAATTATCCAGCTTTAGAGCTCAAATTTTAGTTTGCTGAAAAGCGTACCACGTTTATGGACATCAGGTGAAGATTATGAACAATGACTGCGAATCCAACAGTCTCTGTCCGACCAAAATATATCCGTAAGTTCGAGTACAGGTCACAAAACGTTTACGGATCAAATTCTGCTCACAAATTGCAGTTTTTACATTCTCAGTCATTGTTCATAATCTTCATCTGACGTCCATAAACATTGTACGCTTTTTAACTACTAAAAACTAAAATTCGAGCTGGAGAATTTTAAATTCCACTTGATTATAATTTCTCCTGTTACATATATCGGGTGGCCCAGATAAAATCGGACACTTTCATTCGTTGTTTTTGAGGCACTAGTCCTAAGAATTTGTTCTAAGATCAATCGATAGAGAATTAAATTCTCTGCAAAACCTGCTATTTGGATCGCTGAATCTCTAATAGCATTTTCTGCATTTTCTTGTTTGAGCACTATTCAAAATATTGAAGGGTGCTGAGTTGTCAAATTGCGACAAGCTTTTGTCATCTCCTTTTTTGAGATTTTTAGCCCATTGTCTGAGGTTCAATAGTTAATTATTCTACGTAGAACGACAGAGAATGTTGTGCTCTATCGATCTCATTCATTTACAACTTCATACAATGTTTCTGCTACGCCAGCTGGACTTATCATTAGCTCTCAGCCGGCTTTTCAATTTTTTCCAATTAAAGTAATTTCTTTTTGATTAATAATTTCAATTGAGAAATGTTTTCATTCATTTCTGACAATCCTAAACCTAACGGGAGAGGAGTTTTAAGGCTTCAAGAAAAACGCCCGTGGCTCCCGAATCATGGATTTTCGAGATGTCGCTTGGATCTGGTTTTGTAGAGGACACCTTAGATTATCCGTATATGAAAAAAACTGATAGATTTCTATGTAAAACTTTGGAACTATAAGCTGGTTTTCCAGAGATCCAGAGGCATTTAGAAATTCTTTCGCGATCCAAACAAAGATTTTGGTTTCTGCATATTATTATATGCTGCGGTCTTGGCTACACGATGGCGAAAACCCGATCTCGATGGCTCATTCCTTTCTCCAGTTATTCATGTCGCAATCACCCACACTATATTTTAGCTGGATAGTAGTAATTAAACAGTCGAAATTTTGCTAAAGAAATTTGTATTCATTAAATTCATCTTTATTTTAGTTTCTTGACAAAGAATTTACATTATGGGATCGATTTGAAGTAGAAACTGATATGACGCTTGAAGAACTTATCGAATATTTTAAGGTAGAAAACGAAAGAAATTGTTGTATGTATCCTTTGATATCATTTTTGTACTTAATCTTGTATTTAGAGAGAACACAAAATTGTTATAACTATGTTAGCTACTGGAATGACTGTCATTTATTCGCGTCATTTCATGAAGAACCCAGATAAAGCTCAAGATATGCATAAAAAGTGAGTATGACAATGCTGTTTTCTCAAAGTTTCTTCCACGCACGAATCTACTGGTTACTAAACTGTATTACTGTTGTCTGTTATATGCTGTAGAACATATTCTTAGGCTTAACTGTTCCGTCTCTTTTAGAATATCTGAATTGTATGCAACTAATATAAAAGCGGAAATACCATCACATGTAAAGGCGTTGGTACTGGATGTGTTATGCGACGATTTAGAAGGAAACGATATTGAGGATGTTCCATATATTAATTATAAATTTCGATAAATGTATAAATTCAGATGATTTTATAGATGATTTTCATCGGTTCCCAATTAGATCAGTTAGGGAAAAAGGAAATTTATCACTATTTGGTTCGCTTTGACTATATTTTGACTAAATTCTTTCTTTCTTATTTTCCTTTTCTTTTTTTTCGAAAGTAAATAACTTGTGTTCAATCGTCATATTTTTAAATGCTGTTTTTTTTTTTGTTACAATGTTTACATAATTTGTTGTCTTCGTTTTTTTCTTTATTTTACGTGATAAAATATGCTTATGCTTTATAGAAAAATAAGGAGTTTGATTGTTTTACAATCATAAGTGGACGCCATTCAAAATTAGATCCGTCGTACATTAGAAAATGAATATTCAGGAAAGGATCTGTGAAAAAATCAAGCATACGTGGAAAATAGTTCTTGTTCATTGAATTATTAGGTGTATGTCTACCACAACTTTTGTTGTAGTTATAAGCCTTTATGCTTTTTGATCTACACCTTTGACACAGTTCATGTAACATCTTTTATTATTCCTTCTTTCTTTATTTTTCGGTTTTTTTTTTTTCTTTTATGTCAATAAATATGCAAGACAAGAATTCTCCATTCACAATTCTCCATAAATTCAAGTTTTTATATCCCAGAATCCATTGCTCCCTAAATCATTCATTTCTAAAAAACCGCCTCAAAATCGTTTCATCCAAAAACACATGGTTTGATATTTTTAAATTTTTTTATTCCGTTCTCTTTTTTATAATCTTGAATTATATATCAGCCGAACGAGCAAAAAAAAATATGAACAAAATGTGATATTTTAAGGATCTTCAAACTAAAACTTAATATGGATAAAACTAAAAACAAAATATTCTGAATTAAGAAACGCAAAAATTATTATTTAAATCGATCATACTTGAGGATTAGCCTTAAGAAGAGTAAAAAGTAGAATCATCCATTTTGATGAACCAAAGTCTTTTGTTGATGTTGTACACAGGACATCTGTTGTTTATCTATGCTGTGTCGACCACTGATGTTGCGCACGAAAAGGATATAATAACTGATAATGTAAAAAAGACCAAAGAAACTATCCTGTATTTGAAAATAATTACGAAAACGAAAGAAAAAGTTAACAACGTTTTTGTTGCGTACTTATGTAATCAAGGGTTAAACTATCCATTGTGATACGACAAAATTAATCTTTAGAGCTTTCACTTCCAGTACTGTCGATATTCACACGCCGGACTTTTGGGACACCCTGTAAGCTTCTTCCCCCAACAGGCATTGAAAACTGAATAGAAAAATGGTGTTTGATTAATTTCGAAGTTAAAAGCTTGTTCAACATGGACGTTCCAAACACACTTTATAAAGTGCGTAAAAGGGATTTTGTAAGCTTATCTAGTTTTTCGTGTTAGGGTGATTTGTGGGTCATCGATTCATACATTCGAAAAGTATGAATCGCTTTTTTTAAATTTTGCTTCATTGCTGAGAAAATTCATTTTTTCTAAATCAGAGGGGAAAAGTTCAAACTCTGCCAGTAATTCTCAATTTTTTCAATCAGAACTCAATTTTTAAGCGATAAAAGAATCATATTCGGAATCAGGACCAAAAACTGAGTCGACTAACCTGTATTTCTATCCTATTCGACTACTTTAATTTTTTCGAATTTTCATGTTGGAAAATTACCGAGATTTTCATTCAAAACTGAAGTCAGCTAAAAATTTTGAAGCCGAGCTTTCGGCGAATCTAATGACCCACAAATCACCCTAACACGAAAAACTAGATAAGCTTACAAAATCCCTTTTACGCACTTTATAAAGTGTGTTTGGAACGTCCATGTTGAACAAGCTTTTAACTTCGAAATTAATCAAACACTATTTTTCTATTCAGTTTTCAATGCCTGTTGGGGAGAGAAGCTTACTTGCGTTTATAATCATGTCAAAAACAGGGACGTGTTCAAACGCGGTTGATTGCCATTCGATGATTATAGGTGTGGGATCGAGAAACTCAGCTGCAACATTTTCAAATCTGATTCTCTATGCGAGTTCATTATCCCTGGATACTTACAGTTAAGTTTTACGAAAACTTGTCGAAACTCAAAACTAATACTCAGAGACCTACTCGTTGTATAGTAATGCTCTCAATTGAAAGCTTGCTTCACACTAGTCGAGAAATTTTGGCTAATAAGAGTCCGAACAAACGAACAAGCATTTTATGTTTCATCGCTCATTTTTTCAGGATTGAGAGAGAAAAAATACATTTTCTTAATCCGCTCGGAATGCTCAATTCAACGATGGATAATAAAGTAAGAAAAAAATTTTGGTTGAATTTTGCATTGTGTGCGCGCACCTTAAATCAGTCATAACTAGACGAAAAAAATGTCGCACTTATCTGTGCAAGAGGACTTTTTTGAAGAGGACACTTTTCTTCATATGCTGATGCAGTTTGTCAAAAAGCCTCGATTCGATTGTACAAAATTGTAGGATTTTCTATAAAATCGTGTGTTTTTATGAGTTTCGAAAAGCCTCCTGCAAAACGTTTAAGAATGGTTCTGATAGAAATATAAACTCTTCATTCTGAAAGTAGACACATGTAGCAAGTCAAATATACCTGTAGAGTATGCTGTAGAATATTCCCTTAATTAAAATGAAAACTAACTCTATCACAAATAAATACCTAAAGGATATAAATTAGCCGATTTGAGAGAGCCTTCTGGGCTTTTCTACGGTTCTTGACTTTTAAACACAATAAAAAATAAAAACGAGGAAAACGTCAAACTTCTATGGGCTACATTCGATGAGATTGATTGTTTATCTTAATTTTAAACCGTTCCGATATTTCTAATTGGTAATCTGAAAAAACGTTTTTCTTAACACACTAGAAGGGTGTATTTTATCCCTGTGTTTCCAAAATTTTGGGAACAGTTATAGGTAGAGAGCTGACGTGAGTATCATTTGATACGATATACGTTTTTGGAAATTTTCGTCAAAGTTGAATGTAAAATAAAAGAATTTTTCCACTATAGGGGATGCCCTCAAAAGCACTTGTTCTCCAATATGTTTAACATCCTTTATTTTTCAGCTGGTTATACATTTGAGTCAGTGCAGTTTAATATTAAATTATGAGTCATGGACACATACATTACGTGATCTCGTTATTCACCTTATTCTATTGCAAACTCCAATTTGAGATTATTATTCCTTTGTTATCAGTTCTTAAAAACCATTTTCTTTGTCCATCATGGATCCATCATGAGTTTAGTCTTGGATCATTACAATAGACAGAGATACACATAACAGAACGTTACTGGATACAAATTCACCCAACGTTTTGATTGAATAGATGACGAGGAAAAGGATGTCAATAATCATGAATGAGTAGCTAAAAGAAAATTGAAATTCCAACATACTAATGATAGACGGTAAACAAAAAGGCGTACAAGGATGAGAATATTCAAGAAAATGTTGTGAATTTTGACAATAACAAGCAAGGCCTTATGGACACGAAGGTTTTGTACCAATAGAACTATCATCATCAGTATTAATCCGCGTTAACGGTTTTGGTGACGTCACACCAGGATTACTATTTTTGATCAGCAAAGATACACTGCCATTCAATTTAGATTTCTTCATCAGCATCTCGGCCTGTCCAAATGTAACGGAATTTCATTTTTCTAACTTTGAGCTGATTTCATTCACTCGATCAAAAGTTCTAGGCAACGGAATTTTCAAAAATAGACGGTTTTTTTCCGAGCTTTTAGAACTTTAATTACTTCTCTAAAATTAGGCATCACAGGAAGACCTTGTTTGTATAAAACTTGTAGAATTTTCTTCAGGCTTTCAGAATATCTAATTGGTTTTGTCTGAGGACGTCTGGATCGGAAAAAAGAGCAAAACTACGTCCGTAACGGAATTTCATTTCGTCACGGAATTTCATCTTTTTTCGTGATTCCATATGCGGTGATTACTCCCCATTACGAAGGTTCACTGGGAGAAATTTCATTTGATACAGTAGGTTGACCGGACGAAATGCTGATGAACCTCACTCGAATTAAGGGTACAAACTCTTTTCCCGATTTTTGACTTCTATTTGAAAAAGACCTCCGAGCTCCCAAAGGCGTCCATTTTTGTAGATAGATTTGACTGAACTCAAGAAACTCTCTCATGTGAATGAAGGTTTTGATAAATTCTGATTTGATAAATTCCGATCTCAAAATTTGAAAACTTTAATTTTAAAGTGGGTTTTTAAGTTCAAAATCCACTTTAAAATTGAGATTTTCAGTTTTCGACCTCTGATTCGAGATCAGCGTGAAAAAGTACGTTTAATAATGTGTGTCACAAAACTAATAGGGAAAAAAAATTCACGCAAATTCCTGAAACGAAGGAGGCCATTAGGTGGACAAACCGATCTTCAACATCGGATAATTGATGAACAGGACGTTTGAAGGTCATCGCTTTCTTCTGTCTAAAACAAAAACTACAATTAGATAAATCAAATTCTTATTCGAGAGAAATATAATCTTCTCGTCAAAGTAGAGCAACAATTGATCATGGCCTTTTAAAGACGAAAACCGAAAAATCTTCTTCCTCTACAATCATTACAAAGCCTTCTAATCTCGTAGATAATTAGATGTTTAACAGGTATAAAATCCTAAATTTCCTGTCAAGATTTTCAGAAGACGTACTGAATATTTTTAAAACTTTTCAAAAAACATTTAGGTGACACAATTTTACGATTTAGCAGATTTTCTACCTTAGCTACCTTTTACCTAGGAGTGATTGCACGAAAGAGACGACCTAACGCACTAGAGTTTGCTCAATTTTTTTTTAAATTTAATTCTGATTTCGCCAGTTTGTGGCTGTATTAAAGTTGAGTATATTCTGAAATTTTTAGTCTTTAGCGGATTATTTGGATTATTTTCTACTTTCTAGAAAATCCTCATCGATTTTCTAGATGATGAGGAAGAACAATCTGAGTGAGAATGGTGATAATCAGAGACTTGCAAAGTGAAAATGTCTGAAG